GGCAGAGCATCGATCCTGATCTGCACAACTGCTGTTGGGAGCCTAACAAACCGTTGTTCTTGGCAGTCTTCATCGCATTGTCAATTGCTTCTTTAGTTCGTGCCGATATTGCCATTCCTTCTCTTGATTGCTTTGTAAACGTAGCCGCTGAATCTGATTGGCCGCTGCACTTTCGGCAGAGGCTTCAAGAGCTTTTGACCGGATTGTTCTCACGGGCACATCGGCATGTTTGGACAAGGGGGCACTATCCAGTAATATTCAAAGAAGGCATTCTCCGCGCGCGTACAAGAACGTCCATCGTTGGGGGGTTTGCGGTTTCAGAGGCAGTTGTAAAATGGTCTGGTTTTCTTAGTAGCCCAGTAACCATTTCATAACAAGGGCACCCTTTTTTTGGGTTGGATACTTTATAAGGAACCTTGAACCCCCAAAAAAGGAAAATGGCACCACTAGGCTCCCAAGTGTTTTGGGGCATCGATGTCCTGGAACAACAGGACGACCTGGAAGCCAGGTATCTTGTACCGGAGCCAAAGTAGTTGCCAATACCAGTCCCTCCCTCATAAGAAAGCCAAAGTATAAGTATAGGCATGTTCATGTAAAAGGGCCAGAAACGAATATGAGGCCTAATGAGCTGGCACCTGAACTTTGCACCCGGCTAACTCAGTGCTCAATTCTCGCCCAGGGACACATGGAAAAGATCGTGGTAGAAGGCCTCTCCAACGTGTCCCTCTTCTTCAAATTCATCCTCGTGAAGCGACTTTGGCTTGTGCAAAGTGTTTCAGTGATGCAGAAGATGTCTTTTTTTGTGGGGGGGAGCGACGCCACTCTTCAGAGCCGTCGCCTCCTACCTACTACTTGGAGGTTCATGGTACTTATAGCCTTAAGTATAACTCTACTTCTAAGCCCCCTAAGTCCCCTAAGTAGGTTTAAGTAGACTTATACTTACTTGTCCAATAGCCAAGGGACAAAGGTTAAACTTATTGTTCCTACTACATAAGGAAGTCCAAAACATTTAAAGTTCAACTATTGGCTAAGTGAGTAGAACTGTAGTTATAAGTACCCTGATGACCTAAACCCTAAACCCTAAACCCCTAAACCCCTAAACCCTAAACCCTGGAACGTCCAAGGACTGGTGCTTGACAAGCTTGCTGGAGCCTCTCCTGATCAGCAGCGAGTAGATCCACGTTCACCTGGGTTTAGGGTTTAGGGTGTGGGGTTTAGGGTTTAGGGTTTAGGGCTTAGGCATAGGGTTTAGGGTTTAGGGTTTCGTCGGCCGGGAGTTGCGTTGCTTCGTGAAAGTCTCAAGTGACATACCGTTTGGCAGGGACTTCCAAGTCACTAGCGTTTCGTGAGTCCAGGCATTTTGCTTCATTGTCAGGCCGCTGAAAACATGGCAGTATGCTGCCCTCAGCCCTCATTTGCCTGGTGTACCCTAAACTCTAATCCCGAAACCCTGCTGCTTCTAGGGTCTCCATGGCTGCTTCCTTCCAGCTGACATTGCCCAGCGTTTTTAGGAACACAACGAGCTCCATCGATTTCATGCTGTTGATGCAAACTCTAATATACTCTGTTTTCGAGCACGCGAGCTACCGCCGGTCACTCGCATGGTCCTCTGAGACAACAAGTTCGGCATTCTTCTCCCTGTGGGCAGCGGTTGAGATAGAGAACCCTGAACCCTAAACCCTAAACCCTAAACCGTAAACCCTTGACTTCTACCTTGGGATACTTGAGGCTGAGGATCTTCAAAGCCTGAAACTTCAGACACGCGGCAGCGTCGCAGCAGACGCAGAAGATCTCGCACTCCTCCATGGGCTTTGCACATAGAATTGGGCCAAGAGTCCGCTAAAGCTTCACCAAGATCCGTAGGCAAGCCGCCCTCAAACCCTACCCCCGAAATCACGATGCTATGGGCTATGGGGTTTAGGGTTTAGGGCTGCGGCTTAGGGTTCTGCAGCAAAGAAAGGGACATCATTGGCAGTCTCGGCGAGCCGCTGCTATGACTAACACCCTTACACCCGGCTACTGTGATTGGTTGCTTCTATTGATTGACGGACCGACCCGAAAAAATGTGGTGTCCAGCACCGCCGAAAGAGCCCAAAACTCTTTAAGCATGGAGTATACCTTAAACGACAAAAGGGGCCCTTAATAAGATTTAAGGACTATTCCTGAATTGAGGGGTTATACTGGGCTCTTTGGGTGCACCTAGAGGAAATGGCAAGTGGACGGTCCAAAGGCACTTGGAACGTGCCTGGGCGGCCGCGATTGCCTTGACCGCCTGCTCCTCTGGGTGATGAGCTGGAGGTTTACCCTGAACCCTAAACCCTAAACCCTAAACCCTAAACCCTAACTGTTCAACTGTTCAGATTGCCTTTGGCGGACTCGGGGTCTAGACATCGCCAAGCATGCCAAGCATGCAAGTCTCGAAGAATCCTCAAAGAGCCCATGCTACCCCTTGATTAAGGAACATTCCTTAAATTATATTCAGGCTCCCTTTCTGATTTAGGGTATATTCCTTAATTAAGGAGTGGTGGGCTCCTGGATACGCACCTGCCTCAGATCCCAGGCGAAACTCTGTTCCAGGAACACTACTATTTGCTTAATCCCCCCCCGAAAAAAAGAAAAAATGTAATTCCTATATTGCCCTTATAAGGAAGAACATTTCTATTTATTGGGAGGTTCTTAAGCAATTCGTAGAACATTGCCTTGACTAATGCTGAAGAAGGATATTGCCGCAGTCACAGGGTGGGGTACTCCCACGCTCCGCTTGCACATTGCACCATACTTGGAAGCTCAATCGACTTAGTACGTCTACTTAGTATCCCCTAGAAGCCTTCTCAATCACCACAACCCACCCACCTTACTAACCCTACTTACTAAGTTAACAAGGCTTCCAAGTAGGCCCTAGACCCTGGAATCCTCTCGCTGACAAGGCTTCTCTTGCAGCCCCAAACCCCAAAACCTTGCACGCGCCAGGCCTGCAGTGACCAGGGCAGAATCCGGCAAAACCCAAGATAAAGCAGCGGCTCCTGGGAAGGAGAGATGGCGGCAACACCCCGCGCTGCTGCGAGCATTCAGTGAAACGATATAACCCATGTTGAACCCAAGACGCGCGTAATAGGACAACCCTTCTTGAAAGTCAGAGCCTCTACTCAGAGAGCCCAATACTCCTTAGTTCATGATTGCACCATACACTATGTGGATCCTGAATATGGTTTTAAGTTTTGTTTCATTAATTGTAGACAAGAGTGTTGGACCTACTGCGTACCCAACATGTCACTATGCAGCGTCTGTCCATCTGCTGCGGCGTGCATTTTGCCCCGGGGGTTTAGGATCAAGACCCGTGCTCGTCCAGACCTTCTGAAACCTGCTTAAACATCCATGGGGACCTCAAAGGGCTTTTGCTTCATATACCCCAATCGGATTATAGCAGTACGGAATATAGGGCCCCGATTGTAGGGTTCAATTGGTCGCCAAGGATGAGACTGCTGCAGCCAAGAGACTTTGCGGATGTTCGTGGGCACAAGCCTTGTGCTTGGAGGTTCATGGTACTTGTAACCGTACTTATAAGCCCACTTAAACGCCCCTTGAGTGCCCTAACATGGTTAAATATGTACATTTCAGTGGGTGATATAGGGCTATATAGGCTGTCGTGTTTAGTCTGGATCACATGCTGGTGAGCTGTAGGATTTCGCAATGCAATCTTCTGAAGCAAAGACATCTCACATTCTTCGCCCTGTTCTGCCATGAACTCTCCCAAAGGGCCTATGGTTAGACTACTTGGAGGTTAATGGGTACTTAGGACAAAAATACTACTTAGAGAACTTCGGGGGCTTGCAAGTACATGTAGGTTTGGGGTTATATAAGCACCCTGAACCTGCAAGTAGCCGCGTTCCAGGGTCTCCATCTCACTTCTTCTCCAGGGGTTCTACTTTGGACCTTTCAGGCTGTACGGTTGTACCCTTGGCTTCTGGGGAACCTTGTTGAAGATTCCTTCAGGTAGTATATAAGGGCCATATTAGGAGTATATTCAGGGAACCAACCTTTAGGGGTACAAGCCTGGGGGTTTAAGTTAAACCCTAAACCCTAAACCCTAAACCCTAAACCCTAAACCCTAAACCCTAAACCCTAAACCCTAAACCCTAAACCCTAAACCCTAAACCCATACCCTAAACCCTAAACCCTTGATTTTCTTCGCTTCCAAAGCCTCTTCGGACATCTCGGAATATCGGACTCGGCCGGCTCAGGGCAGCCGCCCTTTGACAACCTGCCCGCCTCCATTGGTTTTGGGGGTTTAGGGTTTAGGGTTTAGGGTTTAGGGTTTAGGGTCTAGGGTTTAGGGTTTAGGGGCTCTACCCTCAGGCTTAAAATAGCCCAAAGCCCCCACGGAAAATAGGCCATTGGGCCCCAAAAACCCTAAACCCTAAACCATCCCAAACCCTAAACCCTAAACCCTAAACCCTAAACCCTAAACCCTAAACCCTAAACCCTAAACCCTAAACCCTAAACCCTAAACCCTAAAAACCTAAACCCTGCACAACCTAAACCCCAATACTCAAAACCCCAAACCCCAAAGACCTTTGGGCCCTTGAAACCTCAAGTAAGAGTGCTTGGGGCCTTAGGACTTTAGGGTTTGAACTGCCCTGAGCCTTCCTCCTTAGTAATCCCTTGGGATGTTCCCCCTTCTACTAACAGTCCTTCAGGGGGATTATAATAGGGGGTGCCATCATCCCTGTTAAGGTTTATGAAACCATAAACTCGTTTAGGGTTGAATTGGTCCCCAAGGCTGTCGAGCGCAATACGGTTCTGCTCCGGCTCTTTTGGCCGGAGCCCAAAATATCGGCCAAACGAGACGAAGGACAGCTGCGGAGAAAGGAGTCCCAAGAACTTCAGCTACATATTCATACATACAGTTTTAGGATTTAGGGCTAGGGTTTAAGTTTAGGATATAAGATGTATGGACCCCTCATGACCTTCGCGCACGCCCTTCTGATACTGCGGCCCCCTCAGCGGTACGGAGGATAGGGGGACTGGTGATGGAAGGGCTTGCAGCCCGTGCCGTCGGAGCAGAAACCGGGCTGGCAGTGGCAGTAGTAGTCCTACTTTGGAGTAGACGCTGGAAAGAAAGCATATACTTTTAAGGTATCAAAGTAGCTATAATGGGTAACCCAGAACCAAAAACAAAGTGTTAAGGTATAGTACTCCAAAAACCTTTTTGAGCAACGGACTTTGGAGTCTGCCGGCAAACTCCAAAACCCTAAACCCTACACCCTAAACCCTAAATAAGTTTGTCAGCATCAAGGTATAAACCCTAAACCCTAAACCCTAAACCCTAAACCCAGGTAGTCCTCTGTGTTGCAGGTCGAAGGCCCCCGCGACTTGGCGCAGCCGAAGATCATGCAAGAGGAGGACCTAGACCAAGAGTCACCTAGGAATACAATAGGGTAGACCCTGTTTTGGCTTAAAGAAGCTTAATTCTCAGGGAAGCTAGAATCCTAAAAAAAGGGAAGAAGGGCCCACTCTGGGTCTTTAGAGCCCTAAACCCTAAACCCCGAGCTCATTTTAGGGAAGCTAAACCCAAACAAACATGGAATAAGGGCCCACTGGCCCACTCTGGATCCTAGGCTTAATCCCTGTTCCCCTAGGAAGAAAAAAGGATCCTTTTTGTTCATATATAAGAAAGCCCATAACCCAAAAAGTAAAAAGGATCCCTAACACTGATCTAGTAGGGACTTGATCTTGGTCTCGCAGATTCCAGGCTGACCGTGGTACTCCTGGAACCCAGGAACCGGCGGAGCGCCCAGCATCGACACGCAGCCTGGCAGGGGCAAAAGTGTTCAGGGTTTAGGGGTTTTTAGGGTTTAGGGTTTAGGGTTTAGGTTTTAGGGTTTAGGGTTTAGGGTGTTCTTAAGGGCTCATAGTGCCTTTCCCGTCGGAGCAATGGCCGGGTTGGCAGTAGCAAGTGTGGTCTGTGGTGTTGCAGGTGGTCGGGCCGCGTGACTTAGCGCAGTCCCAGAACAAGCACGAAGAGGACTCGATCTTGCTGCTGCAGTATTGGTTGTAGCCGAAGCCACCGTAGCCTGGCGGTGGCCCTTGCTGATGGTAGGGGTTCTGGCCATAGGGGTTCTGGCCGTAGGGGTTCTGGCCGTAGGGGTTCTGGCCGTAGGGGTTCTTTCCGTATGGGTTCTGGCCGAAGGGGTTGCTGTTGCCGAAGATGTCATTACCCCACTGGTCGCCCTCCTTGGCCTCCTTCGCTGCTTTCTTCTCCTCATGGTGTCCCACCTTCGCATCATGTGTGTCACCTTCGTCCATGGCAGCTTGAAACTGCTGTGTTGATTCATCCGTCAGGCCCGCCACCACGGCCTGCTTCTGCTGCAACGCGTTCAGCGCGCACGTCTCGTCGGCGCACTCCGTGTCGGAGGCTAAGGCTTGCTCCACCTCCGGGACACCGCGCGAGAATGCGAGCAGCAGCGCACAAAGCACGAGCCGCGTCATGGCAGGGATGGCAAATGGGCGTCGGGCCGCTGATGCTGTTTGGGCTCAAAAGGGGCGGTTAGGTCTTTAGCACGCCCCCTGAGTTTTGGAGCTTTGGGATGTAGGTTCAAGGCCCAGGAAGGCTCCGATTTCGAGTTGGGAAACTTTGAAGGGCTAAACAGGCAAGGGCCCATGTACCTATACAGATGGGCCCGAAAAGGCTCCCTACATAAATAAATAAATAAGTAAGTAAATAAATAAATCTAAAAATAAATAAATAAATATATTTATTTATTTATTTCTGTATATATGCTAGCTTTATAAAGCCCAGGTATATACGAAATAGGCACATGACCTCCTTTGGTTGTGCTCTTCTTGCAGGCGAAGCAGCACGTAGACCGTGCGCATGGAGCCGTTGATGCTGAGGCCTCTCCGAGGACACAGACAGACGGCTGGTTGCATGTTGGACTTCATTTACAAATTATGAGACTGCATATACGTCATGGCAGAAAGAGAAAGAACAATACATCGCAAAAGAGAGAGAGAGAGAGCAAAAGTGAGAGAGAGCAAGAGAATAAGCGTGTGACGCAGATACTGCGGATTCGGCAATGCAAGAGGCGGAACATGGAAGAGCATGCTACTTGACCCCACCCAGTCACAGAAACTGACAGACACGTAGCGACCTTAGACGCTGGCCGAAATTTTAGGGTTAGGGTTTAGGGTTTAGGGTTTAGGGTCCAGGTGTGTGTGATAATACTTCTGGCCATTCAGGGGGCGGGCGGGGGGGTGTGGGGGGTCCGGACCTTACCTAGAGTAACCTTGCACCTCAAGAAAACAAAGCAGATACACAAAAATCGACGGTGCCCTTGCCGTTAGGCACGATGTGAAGGTTATACCCTAAACCCTAAACCCTAAACCCTTCGAGGTAACCCCTACCACCATGGCTGTTAAGGCCCCGGTGACATGTGCATTAGGGCTTATAGGGCTTATAAAAGTACCCGAAACCCTAAACCCTATACCCTATAAGCCTTAAGCCCTAAGCCCTAAAGGGGTCGGTGTTCAAGTGTGGGATCTTAGGGTTTAGGGTTTAGTGCCCGATGCCACGGTTTGACGTTTGCAGGATGGACCTCACCTTCAGAAACGCGCAATTCCGCAATACGGTTTAGAGTTTAGGGTTTAGGGTTTAGGGTTTACCCCCTGACTAACCCAGAGAGCTCAATACCGTCAATTGAAAAATATGCCTTACCCAAAGGCTCCAATGTAGCTCCTTTTTGGGTTAGTTAATAGGGGATTCTAGTATACTTCCCCAAAAAGGTACTACATAGGAGCCTTTGGGTAGTTAGTATAGGCATCCTCAATATGATCTAGTCTATCTTCCTCACATAAGGGGGGTCTTGGGCTCTTTGGGAATATGCGACTGGACCTTCACAATATCCTCAAATAAGGATGGCTCTCGCGCTCCCTTTACGCGTTTAAAAGGAGACGTGGGCCTTAAACCCGAAAGCCCCCCAAAAAAGTGCATCTGTAGTCATCCCAAAGGATTCATGTACCTTTATAGTACACACTCGGGCCCCCCAAGCTACCATAGAGGAGCCCATTTCAGGCCCAAGTCGGGTTTAGGGTTTAGGGTGTAGGGTTTAGGATTGAGGTACATGGATCCTTATAGGGCATGCAGCAAGCGCATTCTTCATGACCAAGCTGCGGCGCACTTGCGTGCAAACATTGGTGAGGGACCTGCAGCACCGAAATCACCGGAAACCCTAAACCCTAAACCCTAAACCCTAAACCCTAAACCCTACATAAAGCCTGAAGAATCGGGGCTTGCGCGCGGATAAGGTGGCAGGAACCGGTGGCAGGACAGTTGAAGGATGCCTACGTCTTGCCTCTGTTGCCATGGAGAGCAGATTCCCCCCCCCCCCCCCCCACCTAAACCCTAAACCCTAAACCCTAAACCCTAAACCCTAAACCCTAAACCCTAAACCCTAAACCCTAAACCCTAAACCCTAAACCCTAAACCCTAAACCCCAATCCCTACGACATTAAAGAAACATCTTCCTGAATAAAAGGGCAATATAGGGATTTTTTTAAATGGGGGGGGGGGGGAGGGGGGGCTGGGGTTCTTAAGCAAGTGGTAGGGTTTTAGGGTATGACATCAGATAACCCTAAACTGGACGATAAGGAATATACCTGAAATCTAATTGAAGGTCCCTATATGATTTAAGGTATATTGCTTATTTACAGGCTCTTGGGCTCTAGGTACCTGCGGTTACCCATGCAACCATCTTGACTACCAGCGTTGCCTGGAAGCTGCGTTGCAGCTTCAACACCCCCCCCCCCCCCAGGGATGGACACAGAAAGCGCGCCCCAAGTCGACCAGGCAACAGAACTCGGGCTTTTAGGGTTTAGGGCTAGGGTTTAGGGTTTAGGGTTGAGGGTTGAGGGTTGAGGGTTGAGGGTTTGGGGTTTAGGGTTTGTAAGCAAGCCGAAAGCTTAAAAAGTCCCGGAGCTGCTCCAAACCCTAAACCCGAAACCCTAAACCCCAACTTCAGGAGTGCGGCTGAGGGAAGCTTGATCCGATGCTTGACATCCCAATGTTCCAGAGGTCTGGGAGAATTCCGGCGGAGAAGTTCTCTCCTCAGGCGGAACACGTTTAGGGTTTAGGATTTAGGGTTTAGGATTCAACAAGCGTTTAAGCGCGAAGCACAGTCCTGCTTTCACCCGAAGGACCCATGTGCCGCCTAAATGGTACATACTTGGGCCCTGAAGCTACTATATAGGAACCCCTTGAAGGCCCGAGTATGTGCCAGAAAGGTACATGGATCCTTAGGGTCATGGATCCTTAGGGTCATGCAGGCCAGACAAAAAAAACACCACTCTCCATGGCTTGTTTAACCTCCTGCTCCTTGGACAGTTCAAGAGAGCCCAATACTCCTTAGGGAAGGAATATGCCTTAAATTATAGAGGGACCCTGAATATGATTTAGGAATATTGCTTAGTTCAGGGGTATTGGGCTCTTTGGGGTCTTGACGAGCACCCGCCTCGCTCGCACGACCTCGCGGGACTTTGAAAGGTTTAGGGTTTAGGGTTATAGGGTTTAGGGTCGATTATCAAGAGACCCCCCGACAACAACGAAGCCCCACACGCCTTGCAGTAGAAATTCGAAAGACATTCCACATCCCTCAAGCGTATATTAGTATATGCACCCCCCATCCCCCCAAGCCCAGCAACTCAACATTCGCATTCCCTGAAGCACTGGGTAGCCCAGAAACCAGGGAACCTTGAACCCCAAAAAAACGGCAACACGGGCACCCCTGGGCTACCAAGAGCCCAGGGAGCCCAATACCCCTCCATTCAGACATATACCTTAAATTTCAGAGGGATCCTTCATATGACGTAAGGTTTATGTTCCCCCAAACACTATAAACCCTATAAACCCCGTATTCCTTATTTATAAGAGGGGGTAGTTAGGGCTCAGCTCATTTGGGGAGCAGCCAGAGCGTCCGGCAAAGACCCGGAGGCGGCTGTACAAGGGCTCAAAGGGATGCCCCTTGCAAGCGCTGATCGACCAGAGGTAGAAGCGCTCGAAGACCTTGGCCGTACTGGTTTAGGGTTTAGGGTTTAGGGTTTAGGGTCTTTAGGAGGATAGCTGTAAATGAAGCTTGCAGCTGCCTTACTAAGAAGCCCTATAAACCCAAAAAGGCTGAGGATCTAAAGTTACAGTAGAGAACCACAAAGTACTGGGGTGGGAATACTGACGGTTGCTTTTTTTGCCACACGTCTTCCTGATGGTTTAGGGTTTAGGGAACAGCCGTGCGCCAGTGAGGATGCCACGGGCTGCTGCAACAGGTGCCATGACAAGTTCTCAAGTTGCTGGCGGAGCTCCAGGCCAACTCATAAAGCATCAACCTCTCCCTGTTAGGGTTTAGGGTTTAGGGTTTAGGGTTTAGGGTTTAGGGTTTAGGGTTTAGGGTTTGGTGTTTACTACCCTAAGGGTCCATGTACCTAAATAGAGAGTACTTGGGCCTTAAAGTACTTCCTATATAAGGGCTTTGGGGGGCCTAAGTATATAATGATAAGGTACATGGACCCTTAGGGCTAGCTTCATTCTCATTACGTTCCAGCTGCTTGTGATGTCCGAGAAGACGAAAGCCAAGGAACTACGCCAACCTTGCCTTGTGCTTGTGTGCTCGAGAACCCTATAGTGGATAGAACGCTTTAACGTATGAAGGCGCAAAGCCCCAAAGCCACCGTTCGCAGCTAAGGCACGGAAACGCCAGCCTGATTGCCGAGGACACCGAAGACTAATCTAAACGTTTCATGTGGTTTTGTGTTCGGGCTGTAAGTGTTCTTGCGGTGTTGACTGCCGGTACAACAGTGGTCGAACATATTCCTGCACCTCCAGCAAGACAGTCAAGACAGTCAGCCGCAGCGACTCGGTGATCTCCATTTGTTTCAATGCATGCTTTGGAGAAGGGAGGGCTTGCTCAGTCTTGCGGTAACAGTTCTACTGGGAGGTTCATGGGTCTACTTATAACCTACTTAGGGGACTTAGGGGGCTTCTAAGTAGAGTTATAGTTGGGGTTATAAGTACCATGAACCTCCAAGTAGGGCACGACCCCAACCACAACAGTCCCACTTCTCGGGAGGGCCTGCCGAACCCCCAGACCCCCATCCTGAATCACCCCCTCACAGACAACTTGGCTGCACTTAGGAGGGTAGCTATAATAATTTTTTGCTGCCTTATTAACAAACCCAATAAACCCAAAAAGGCTAAGGATCTAAAGTTACAGTAAAGAACCACAAAGACAAGTACGACCACCTCCAAGGTGGTACGTTACAACGTGGGGGGCGCCACGTATACGACTTGTGCGGCAATGAGTGTGCGCCTCCCCTGATGCCGGAACGGTTTAGGGAACAGGCTAAACCCTAAGCCCTAATCCCTAGTCCCTAAACCCTCTACCTGGGTTGATAAAACCCCTTTTCGAGTCAAGTCGCTTTGTTCCTGAGTGACAAAGCCTCCCCATCCGACAAGAAGATCTGCAGACAAGCATCTTGCGCGGTTGCAGTCGGGTTACTACAGCCCAGTTAGAAAAGCGAAAGTATGCCTCGCAGAGAAACTCTTACTACACAACTCGCGGTTCTCAGTAGAGCTTATAAGGAACTATAGGCACCCACAAACTCCTTGGAGGGGGGACCTTGTGTAAGGTACGCATGATATCGCTACTCTGGGTCCCAGTTCTTGTTTCAGGCCCGAGCTTAAATCTCCTCTTTTTCAAGGCTCAGGCTCAGGTCTGGGGGCTTTGGGGTTTAGGGTTTACGGGGTAGGGTGAGGGTTTAGGGTGTGGGGTGTAGGGTTTGGGGCTACCAGTGCATGGCAGACTTGCCACAGAGTAGACTGGTTTAGGGTTGTCAGGGTGGGAGTGAAACATACCCGATACTGGCTCACTTCCTTCCCTTGTTTAAGTAGTCTAAGGTTACTCTAGGTAGAGCTCTGACTTGATTCGGGTACTTAACTTTCTTATTGTTGCTCTGATGACAATAAAGCTTGGTACATGGAAGGAACTGGAGTCAGAGACCTCTAGGCGGTTGTACGCAGTTCTTTGTCCAGGGAGGGGTGAGCATCGAACGTTATACTACTTAGCAGGAAGGGCTCCTAGGGCCTCCACCAGGTCTGCCGTCGTCTGATCCTCACAAACAGAGGCAGCAAATAGGTGGCATGCAGGCGCACACTCTGATGACCAGACTCTTGCCATTCCCTCCTGCAAACCTACCTACTGCAACCGACCCCGAAAAAGCAACTTGATCAAGTACATGGATGGAAGGGCTGCTCCAAACCTTGTGGTCTCGACCCGGCAAAAAGTTGGAGCAATCTACCTCCGGCACTGAAGTAAGACGTCTCGCTAGAGGCTCCCAAAGGGCCCAATACCCCTTCATGCAAGAGTATGCCCTACATCATAGAAAGGATCCCTATGTGTGGTTTAAGGTATATTCCTTGACTGAGCCGTGGGCTCTCTGGGTTAGGTTTTGGCCTTTCTGGACAACAACACCACTAGGACCGCCGGGGCCCCGGCTGTCAGAAGCGGGACACAGTGCGCCGCCGTGCATCCACGGAGGTCACGATTCTGGCAGCAACTTTCGAACAGGGTTTAGGGTTTTAGGGTTTAGGGTTTAGGGTTTAGGGTTTAGGGTTAGGGTTTAGGGTTGGAACAGACGCTTCATGGTTGGCTCTCTAAATTTGGGGTCCCTTTCGGGGTCCTTTCTCTAACTGTGCCGTGTGATACAGGATACCCGAAACTACGACTTGCTAAGGAACCCCCCCCCCAAAAAAAAAAATAAATAATAATATATAAAAAAAACATGTTCTTCCTCATACGTGCAATGTCGGAATGAAAAGGGTGCCCTCTTTGTGGTTTTCAAGGGGGTTGTAAGAGAACCGAAACCCCCTAAAAAAGGAATAAGGGCCTACTCTGGGTCCTAGTTTCTGTTCCAAACCCTACACTTTTGGGGCCCTCTCGTTGCACGAGGAGTGCCTACCCAATCAAATGTCCAACTGTGTATTTCTACATCAGTCTAGTAGAGTGTGGTTACGAGCGGATGGGGGTGTCGTCATCAAAGGGGGCCGCGGAGAGAGAGAGAGAGAGAGAGACATTCCCTTGGAACACCTTCCGCCGCGATGATGACTTCAAACCGCGCGATTGGTGAATGTTTTTGGTAGGCTCGAGACCTTGGAGACGCTAAAGTACTAAACCCTTTAATTACCTGATGAGCCAATAATTCCCTGACTGAACCCTAAACCCTAAACCCTAAACCCTAAACCCTAAACCCTAAACCCTAAACCCTGAACCCTGAACCCTAAACCCTAAACCCTAAACCCGAACAACAGAAGCCTGAGAATTCCAGCGTTAAGCCCCCGGCTGTGCTCGCGGCTCCAACGCGGATCAGAAGGCGGACGATCTGAGTGTGGAGGGCATTGAACATCACGGTTTAGGGTTTAGGGTTTAGGGTTTAGGGTTTAGGATTGCTGAGTTCATAAGCCCCAAAGAAGGTTACACTTTCAGTTCTATATGGGATTACTTAGTTGCTGAGTTCATAAGCCCCAAAAAAGTTTACACTTTCAGTTCTATAGGGGATTATGGTACCCCAAAAAGTGTAAAGTGTACTCATTCAGCTACTAAGAGAATGTGTGGATGACATACGCAGGACAACCTTTATGCCCCTAAGTGAATCTCAGCCATCAGGTAAGTGTTTACCCTGTTTTTTAGGTTCAGCGTTACTCTACTTGTACTTCTAACCCACTTGTAAGCTCCTCAAGTGCCCCAACATGGTTATAATTGGGTTGTAAGTGCAGCTATAATTTTGGTTTAAGAAGTACCATGAACCTCCAAGCTCTAAACCTAAACGCTAAACCCGAAATCATGAGCCTCCAAGCAGGAATCGAAATAGGTTATCACGGGACCAAACCCTCAGCCCTCCTTATACCCATCAATCATCCCCCCCTAGGTTCCCCCCATAATTAAGGCTGTTTAGCATAGAGGGGGGTGGTAGGGGAACCCGTGAATTAAGGTTTTGAGTCGGCCTCGATGGAGCGTTGCTCAGCAGCCAAGTGCAGGGTCGTCGTCCTCAGCTCGCTGCACCCCCTCTAACGAGGTTTGCCCAGTAATCTAGGATTTCAACAGGGGTTTAGGGTTTAGGGTTTAGGGTTTAGGGCTTGGGGTTTAGGGTTTAGGGTTGCTTAAGGGAACCCAAACGCTCCCCAAAAAAAGGGAGAAGGGCAGCACAGGGAATCCGAGTAGCGTAGAAGATGCAGTCT